AATAAAAATAAAAACGTACATACATACATATATATATAATGTAAAAAAATGCCCTATTATAGATCAATTTTCTAATTCAGATGTTTCTCGGTTAGTATCCATAAGTAATAAAAACAGAAATCATATAGATACATGAGCCTACCGATTTCAAAAGAAATAGTAATGGTTTTTTCAAAGTGTTTATTAAGTTTATTTAATAATATGAAAATTATGAAAATTGGGTTTTAAGGTTCTTTTTGCTTATATTTTTTAATGGTTTGATGTACAGAAAAAATAAAAATACCAGCGTGTAGAGCGAAAAGTTTTCTATCGATAAGCACTTATGATTTTGTTTTGACTAGCACAAAATGTTTAGAAAAAAATGAAATGGCACTTTGGCAGTATCTGTAAAAGTACCTTCTACAGTTACATGAGTCAAATTAGTCAATAGTGACTAATTATAAGTAAAAAGTAATTTACTTATTGTGATAAGTAAACGACATTTTACTGATTTACAGTAAAACTTGTCTGATTCAACTTATAAGAGGGATAGAGAAAGCCATTGATTGACTGCTATCGGGCTTGCTCTCTCTCTCTCTCTCTCTCTCTCTCTCTCTCTCTCTATTGAACTCATACAGGTAGACCTTTTTCATAACTTTTTTAAATATTTTGCGCATGTAGAAAATAATGAATTAATATTAGAATTTTTATTTCATCTAAAAAAATTTTTTTCTCTGCGAACAGGATTATTTTAAAATATTAATATTTGACCATAATGCAAAGTTTTCCCGGGCTCTTTCAATTGTGTTTATTCAAACTCCATTTTAACCCGTCTTTAATAGAAAGCCAACAAAATTCACGCACGTGAGCAACTACGCACAGTAAACCGGTATCCAAAAAGAGACAGAGAAATCAATGCACCTGATGGTTTGTTAAACTAATGTATGTACCTGTGTGTAGGTAGGTAGTATAGATAGTTTATTTATAAATATGTATTTTAATCCGTGAATATTATAGATTAGGAAAAAGCAAATTATGTTTGTATTTTGTTTTGTTCATTAACATATTAAGAAGGAGAACGATAAAGAACAACAATACACGGCAAAGAGAATATGTGTACTACCTACCTACACATAGGTACATACATTAGTTTAACAAACGATTAGGTGCATTGCTTTCTCTGTCTCTTTTTGGATACCAGTTTACTGTGTGTAGTCGCGCACGTGCGTGGATTTTGTTGGCTTTCTATTAAAGACTCTTTTTAATATAAGAATATGAAATGAAGATTTTTTAGAGTAAAAAAAAAACTTTTCCTATCTCGCGCATTTTTGAGAGGCAGGTGTGCGCTTGGTAAAAAAAATAGGATTTGCCACATACGCGACATTGCTCTGTGGCTGCCTTACGTCTCTCGGGCCCTGTTTCGCAAGTCCCACAGGCCGCAAAATAGCCCTGAAGGCAACGGCACTTATCTAACAATAACTACTATTTTTATCATAGACAATCAAGTACTACCGAGTTCAATAACATACTCTTTAATGTTTCACATCTGTCGTGGGTCCCGAGACCCACACCTGTTTTTTTTTTTTTGCAGACTCAGTTGTTTTAGGGACCTAAGGTAAAGAGACTGGTTCATATGCTTGCCCGTTAGAGACTGTCTCATTTGCTAAATTTTAATTTTCCTTCTTAGCTGTTAGGTTTGTCTAGCACAGACTTTGGAGAGAATTGGTGACTCCTGGTTAAATAATTAGAGTTGAGAGGGTGACATAGGTTCTTCGGCCGCCAGAGTTTCCAGCCTTGCGACGAACAACTCTACTCGGGACGTCTGCCAGTGAATGACTGACTTAGTTTACTGGTAGCGGCCTTATGTAGTCTTTTAATCGACGAATTGTTGCTGGAAATGGTAGTGAAAAGGTATTCGTTGGCAAGGTAGTTTAACCTTATGTGGCCCTTAAAAGAATCGATGAGATTGATGATTAAGTAGGAAACGTAAATACTTTTAATGGCCCTGAAGGGGGCCAGTGGTGAAACTTCCATCTATTTCTAATTAATATTTTCGATGATAGAGAGCTGGCTGTGGGTAGCTTGACTTCTATCCTTGGAGTCTCTGTGTACGGAGATCGTGCAAGGAGTAGGTGCACCACTGACCAAAGAATATCTCGTTTTCGGGTGGTTCCCCGGATAACCAACCGCTCATCGTTAGTTGGGAAAATAAAACTGGAGAATACCATCTCTGTGGGTATGCTGATGGGACGACCACTGAAAAAGAAGCCGTTTTGGCTGCCCAAAGTTTTCAGGGTCATTTTTCCTGGCTGGCTGTTGAAAAAAAATTGCTCTAGTAGCCCCAGGACAGTTGGAAGAATGGCCATGAAATTCCAAAATGCTAAAGCAGATTGTGCTCTGGCTAGACACGTCTTCTGGTACTTTGTCGGAGACGTTAGCATTTAGAATACCTTTTTATTGGTGGAACTCGTTAATCTTGGTGGTTCAGTATGGAGTTCAACGTAAGTCACTTGTTCAGTAGAGAACAGTGTTGTTGGTAGCCACCATTCCCAGCGGCATGACTTCCAGCTCTATGCTTCATGCACTACCGATGATTCACTGTCGAATTCGGTACTCATCTCAGGAATATAATAACCAGACTTACTATATCTATTGCAGGTAGCTTCAATTTTACGTCTATGAATCCTAGCGGATCCTGCTGAACTAACGTGAGAAGCTAGCGTATTTTTGCTAAAATTTAAGCTTATTGATTGCTATTGTTCTTAATTTTTTCATGATAAAAACTACACTAAAACCATCTAGAAAGTGTCAAGAACCAGTGTGCAAAATTTCAGCGAGATCGGTGAAGTAGTTCTCGTGGTTAGCGATTACAACGGTTTGAGAGACTGTGCTAAATATATTAGTAAGATTAACTAGAACTAAGTTTAACTTTAAAGAAAGTACAGTACAGCGTTACCAAACTTCTGACGTTTATAAGTTTTGGTAAATAACTTAAAAATGCTTGTTAACTGCAAATTAAACGTTTATTAAAGTATAAATATTCATACCTACTTAAATTTGCGATTTTTTAATCTCCTATTCTTTACAAATACCTAACAAACATTTTTTTAAATGTGTTCTTTAATATTTGATACTAGCTGGCAATTATTATATGACAGCTTTCCTTTTTCTTACTTCCAGTCCCTTAAGGCCTTAACCTCTCAACTAATGGACAGCAGTAAACTACGGTAAACAGAAAAAGAAGTAAGCTTACTTCATAAACTTATTTAAGAAATATTTAAGAAATACAATCCCTTCTTTTCGTACTATTGTAGAGTAGAGGTATTAGGGAGAACTGTACAACCAGTATTTCGCTGATACTGCTAACAGTGAGTTTTTTGTCTGAAAAAGTAAAAAAAAAAACTGTTTTTACTTTTACAGAAAGTGACATCGTTATTTTTGTTTGCTTATTTCTATCAATATAAAACAACTACCAGTAGTGAGTGGTGATAGCAGCATCTTTAGCTCAAAAAACGCACTGCTGGTAGCATTTTAAAACGTAAGATTCAAATTGAAACAGCAAGTGAAAAATACTTCTAATAAATTAACAAAAAAAAATCAAACAACAAGACACTAACTAAAATGTACCATTAAGTGTAGAAAATTTACCAACTTTAAATGTTCAGTTTAATATATTTGTATCCTGAAATATTAAAATATTAAATACAGTCTAAAAATAAGTATTACTTCATGAGCATTCAACTTGACTTAATTTTATTTCAATGTACTACATACAAAATGGCACTTCTCACGTAAATGCATTGTAAGATAATTTGACCCACGAACAAAACGTGAAACAAGGTTTAAAGAAAATAAGATGTGCTTACTTAACGAAAAAATTTTAGAAACGATTATGAGAAGTCCATAAACTTAAAAAGAATAGACTGCTTATTATAAACAAATTTACTTAAAAAAGCGAAGTAAAAATTAGATCCTTATTCCACGTGAGTTTTACCACCTATGTATAAAATAATATATAATAACTGCCCCTCTTAGCCGCTTAAGCCTACTCGAAGGGTAAGTTAAGTTTTTTTGTAATTTTTTTAGAATTAAATTTGTTAAAGAACCCTCTCTCGTCCTCACCCATTTTTATCATAGCACTTAGCCCCCCTCATTTCCACTAATTTTCACAATACCTCTTCGCCCCCCTCATTTCCCCTTATTTCTATAGTACCTTTTTGGCCGTCTTTGGCACTTAATATCAGTTAAAACTATTTTAGTTTGTTCATTGTATAATTCAATAATATTTTTATTTCAGCTCCTAACTCCTAACACTCTCTGACATTATTTCAGCCCCTTTTCAGCTCAGTGGTAAACTCACTGATACAACACTATTGTATAAGTCGTGGGTTCGATTTCCGGTGAATGCATATTTTTCGAAAATTGTTTTCATCAGAAAAAGTTTCTAGTAAACCTTGGTTGTTTTGGAGCAGGTTTTCTGGTAGAGATCTCTCTCAGTGTGATCCCAGGATGTTTTCCTGCCATCACAGGTCTTGGGGCCTGGGTAAACGTGAAAAAGTGTTAATACATTTTTAGAGAAAGTCTTTTTTAATAATAATGAAAATCACTCTTTTATTGGTCTTACACATGTCAACTATATAAGAATAATAATTATCTAGCAATATGGCTCATTTTGTGGGTCAGTAAAGAACCTTTATTTTCTTACGTAACCACTTTTTTTAGTAAATTCAACTAGAAAAATATTACGATCCAAACAAATCAGTACTCCTACATAACATAATTATACAATAATAATTTTTTTAAGTAAGTGCAGCTTAGACAACCATTTTTTTCATTATATACATCTAAAGTTTTAAGATCAAGTACCAAACTGACTTCCCCCATTTTTTTTTTTAAATAATAAACGTGACACTAACTTTTCCTTGTATGTGTTGTTACACTAATTGAATTTACTGATCCTATAAGAATTCGTTTTGCTTATGACAAATGTATATAATCATTGAGGTTATCGTATCACTTACTTAATTAAAACCATGTCAGATAATCCAGTCCTTACGCCATGCTTCTTCGAATCGTACTCTGCAATCATGGGGCGCATTTGCTTGTTCTGGAACAAAGTCAACTACTTAGTAAAAGAAAAATATATCATACTTTCAATCACTATGTACTTTCACATAAATCTATACACACACATATATACATGTAAGCGACCTTTTGACTGCATTTTTTATATTCAACAGACCTTTTGATTGCATTTTGACCTTTTGAATGCAGCAGTCAAAAGGTCGCAATCAACTTTGATTGCATTACATTTTCACGCAATAAACTTTGATTGCACCATATATTTTTGCAATCTCATATGACTGCGTAAGATAAATATTACTGATACACAAAATGCAATCAAAATAAATTCAGACAAGCATTCGAANAAGTGACTCATTCCGACATTTCTTACTTACCGACATCAACATTGTTTAAATCGTTCCGACAAATATAAAGTGCCTCGAGTGTAAATCATTCACTAAAACAAAAAAATATCGACAAAAGACTTATAATTTTTGTACAAAATTGATCAGTTTTATTTTATTTGTTTTATTCATTGTTTGAATAAAGTATTCATGTATTATGTACGCGTCAACTTATGAAAAGTGTTAACCTTTAGGAGTGATTATAAATTGTTTTCCTAATTAATTTGATCGTTTCCCATACCGATGAGTATATAATAGATAGCTTGTAAAAACATTGATAAAACTTAATATTTAATACATTGTCTTTTAATTATTCCAAGCATTCCGAAAAAAAACATTCTAAGATATAAGTTTTTCGTGCTTTTGGAGTTAAAGTTTCTGTTGCTAAATAATATTGCTGGAGTTTTAAAAAATTAAAAGTGAAGATCGACAGTACATAATAAGTCTACTTTTTCATTTAATTTAATGCTATCTTTAAATGAAGAGACACATTAGCTAAAATTTTTATGCATCAAAATACTTTAGTCAGTATAATGTAATCCTAAAAGGTCACATGACTCTTGCCATGTATGTAGCCCATTGAGGGAGAAATAAATCAATGAAAAAAATCTGTATGTATTTATTTTTATACTTTTGATCATTGTTATAAGATAAAAGATAAAAACGTTGAAAGCGTTTTCGCGCTTTTAACAGGAAATATTAGGCTTTAAAAGACCAATTGAGTTGCAGTAAAATAGAAAATTGAGTTGGCAGATTGAAAATGACAAAACCTTTTCTTCTATAGGCCTGACAATATCAATTTTCCGTAATATCAACATGTTTTAAGTTTGATAAGCTTTTCAAGTTAACATCGGTAAGAAAAGCAATGATGTTATAAAAAAATAGTATCGTATTTATAAAAATGATACTATAAAAGAAAAAAAACAACTTTATGTTGAAGTAACCTAACTTGACACAATTTTTTACTATGATAATGTCAAATAGTAGTTTTTAACGTTTAATTTTCGAAGTTATACTTCTATAGGTGCGTTATGTGAGGGGGTACACCAACGATTTCATATTTTGTATGTTTCTCCCCCTTCCCTTTCCCATCGTAACGTACTTCCGGTCCCCTCTGCACTACACAATAATACAACCACACCACACTACTACAGCACATTTATTTGATAATTTAGTTTTCATATATCACATAGTTAATGGGGAAAATATTCAGAGGTGAGAGGAGCACAAATATGTAAAGCAACGCAGGCAATTATTTTTCTCATATGGATGTACTTACGTACACTCTTTAACGTATACTTGACCCCTTTTTTCTGGTGTTATTACAAAAATAACAACTTGTACATCTATTCGATAATTAATTAGATTTGTCTGAAAGTAATTTTTCATACAAATAAATAATGCATGTGATATTGAGATTTGTTTAAAAAAGCATATAAAAAACAGAACACAGTAAAACGAGCTAAATATTTTTGTGGGTATTTCTTATGCTGTTTTGAATATACGTTGAATGTTTAAATAATACTTTTGAAAAAACCTATGCGTGATGAACGCTGAAGGGATATTCACTGGCATTTCATACTACTTTATTGAAGAGAGTAAAACCACATGTATAGAATTTTAAGTCTCGAAGTTAAAAAAGTACCAACTTATTCCAACATAGACTTTGTTAAGAATGATAAACAATTCTGATCACGGATAATTACTGACCGTAGTACTTAGTTAATCTTCAATGAAAACAAAGGTTTTCAAGGTTAAATCTTTTTCAATTTAGAAAGTAAATCGTGTTATCTTCCACTATCAAGTTTTGTCTAAATCAAATGTATCTCTCAAAAATCAAATATTGCAAAATTGCGTTTTTGGCTAAACCACTATTTACACGATCATTGCAAGTTGTCGGTTAAAACTAAACGGATCTATGATTTTTAAATTGTCTCACATTATCTAACTGTTTTTTATAGTTCTTGNGAAAGTAAATCGTGTTATCTTCCACTATCAAGTTTTGTCTAAATCAAATGTATCTCTCAAAAATCAAATATTGCAAAATTGCGTTTTTGGCTTAACCACTATTTACACGATCATTGCAAGTTGGTGGTTAAAACTAAACGGATCTATGATTTTTAAATTGTCTCACATTATGTAACTGTTTTTTATAGTTCTTGTTTTATTCAACGAATTCTCATAAATTTATCTTAGTATGAATAGCATTATTACTTTAATAAGAAAGAAATACAGTCTAAAAATTATAATGAAAATAAAAACATATATCTTTCTTTTAGGATGTCTCTTTTGACAGTTAGTAGAACAGTTAATTGTGCGCTTAAGCTTGAGACAAATACAGCAAACTTATATTATTAGTTGTGGATTAAATATAGAGACTCACAAGTAAACAAGACTAAATGACATACTAAGCGGTATACAGAGTCAGACCAGGTGCGGATCCAAGGAGGGGACGGTAGGGGCTATCACCCCCCCCCCCCCTAGCAGTGATTTTTATTACTCATCCGTTTTTTTCAAGTTGAATAAATAACCATTTTTTTTTATTTTTCAACTGGAAGTGCTCCAGACCGCCCCCCCCC